AATTTTTTTTTTCGTGACTGGTAAGGGGATCGTAACCCTTGGCTTGGTGTCGCCTGCACCACGCTCAGCCAGTGAGTGCACCGGCCATCCCTACATAGGATCCGAACCTGCGGCCTCGGCGCTCCCAGCGCCACACTCTCCCAAGTGAGCCACGGGGTCGGCCCGAAAATTGTTTTTAAATTTATTTTTTGAATTGAAACATAACTGATTATACATATTTATGGGGTACAGAGTTGACTATCAGTATTTGTGTATAGTATGTGATGATCAAGTCAATATTATTAGTACATTCTTCGTTACAAGTCATAATTATTCTTTGTGTCCTTTTGGAAATTTTTGCAAAGTCAGTCAAAATGATAATATCACAAGGACTTTTAGAGCAGGAAGCTTGAAGTAAATTTGGAGATGAGGAAGTTTCATGTTTTCTTTAAAAATTAAAATTGGCTTAAAGTTGCAGCTTTTAAAGTCTAAATCATGGAAAGATAGTGTTGAAAGGCATGCCTGTGATCTTCTAGTGATTTTAAAGATGAGAAACTGATGTCTAAGGAGATTATGAAACTTGCTTAAGATGAGACAGTGCCTGCCTGGCTGGCATTAGAACTCAGGTTGCTACATGCAGAGCCTGTGCTTTTGGCTCTAACAGCTGGCAATTTATGCTGGCACCAACTGGCCCAGAGAGCACTGGGAGCATTAATTTTCCTAGGTGACTACGATTGTAGGGTAATATGCCTTTTGAAAGGTCTTCCTCCAGAGCACTGTCTTAAGCATGAAGATCACTAATTCAGCTGCCACAAACAGTACGCAGAGGGGTGAGAGCCAAAGACTTTCATTTCTACCTGTCAACACCTCTCTCCATGTGCTCAGCACATTGAACTAATACTGCTTTTGAGGCCCAGCCACTGGCAGGGCTCAGAAAGACTCTCCCTTCTTCCTATGTTGCTTCTTAGTTTCAGCTTGGTAAGGCTTGTGATGATATGAATGAGTGAAGTAGGGGATTCGTCATCTGTATGGGCAATTCCCAGTGGAATCCGCTTGACTGAGGCTGCTACTATGCCAGGAGAGTGGGAAGCAGGGCTTCTACTACCCAGGGCATGAAAACAAATACCTCCCATACCTTCGATCAGGACACCTTGCCAAAAATAACATTGTGGGAAGAGTTGTTATTCTTGGCAGATACAATATACATTTCTCCCCCTATTTCCTTTTATAGTAGATAATACAAGCATATGGTACAAATTTTTTTTTAAAAAGTAGAACATGAAAAGTAAGGGCCCCTTCTACTCCCAACCTCAGGTTTCCAATTCCTTTATTCAGAAGCAACATTTGCAACCAGTTTCTTGTGTATTCTTTCAGACATATTCAATGCCTGTGTAAGTGCTATTGTTTTTTTTAACACAAATGACAGTATAATTTTTGTATGATTCTGTCCTTTGTTTTTTTCACTTCATAAATCTTGGAATTTGCCCCATATTGAACTTCTTTGTTCTTTTAACCACCAAATTACTACAGACATTTTATCTACCAGGATTCCTCTCTTCACTGTTTTTATTTCTTTTCTTGCTGTTGAGTACTGACTTGGTTCAGGTTAGGTTGTTCAAGCTGATGAAGAGAAGGGAAAGACCCATTGTTAAAAAAAGCTACCCCAAATCTACTGAACTCTGTAGGATTAGAAAAATTTTACATATTCTTGTGTCCCCTGAAAATAGGATGCTCTTACTCATGTGTTACAGGGAAAGAGCAAGCATGCAGGAAGCTTCCAGAACTTGCTCCCAGTGTGTTCTGGGAGTCTGGGGCCATGATGGATTGATTGGGCACAACCTTCTCCATGAGGGGATCTCTATGACTGAATGGGTTTCTTAATACAATGACTATTTAGTGCTCTGTTATCCAAGATGGGAAATTGGGGCTCAGTGAGCCAAAACAGTACAGCAAAGAAGAGTTTGGCAGAAATGAGGACGGAGCTCAGATGCTTGCATGAAAGAGCAGAATAGTCCTAAATTACCTTGAGAGGTGTTATAGGAAAAGCAAGGGTGCAGGTAGGAAGTCAGGGTCTAATCGTTACAGAAGAAAACGTCTTTGGTCAAGTCTTTCACTCTGCTGGCTACTGTGTTTCTGCTTCATTGAATATGACCTGCCATTTGTTCACATTTTTTTTTTCTGAAAATATATTCTTCTTCCTCCCTCAGGTATCACCTCAGTATCCTCCAATTCAAAATATCAAAGTACAGTTTACCAGTAAGTATTGTCAAAAGTTTAATTGATTCCAATTTTTAAAAGAATCTTATATTCAGTCTCTTAATTTCCTCCAGAACACAAGATCTCTCTTTTTCCTTAGTGAAGCATTAGATACCAGAATTGTTGGAACCTGCATATTATTTTTATTAGGGATGAAGAAGGTGTATAAAGAAGAAAAAGGGAGTAACTAGTTACCAAATATGTGCTTGTCTCTACTAATTACTTTATGTGATTCACTTAATCTTTCCAGGAATACTTGCAGTAGGAATTATTCTCATTTTCCAGCTAAGAAAATTAAGGCTTTACTGTTGACAAGTCTGTCTGACTATAAGACAAATCATCTGCTAATTCTATTCTGGGACATGATTATACCTTAATGAGTTTTGGAGGAGGCCATAGACAAGAGGAAAAGGTGATATTTTGACTACCACAAGAGCATTGTTTGGGTCCATTATTAATAGTAGGACAGATACCAGTAGTTTCTATCCGAATAGGCGTTTGTTTATTAGGTTCTCCTGAACCTGAAGGAAAGCATCTCTTGACCTCCATAGGTGGTCCTCATTTTCAATTTAAAGTATGTCCCCTAGGCCTGTTACAAAGTAAGAATTACTGAATTGTGGCCAGAAGAGGAGACCTATTTTTTCTCACCACCAAGGGACATGGGCCAGAATAGGATGTCGAAGATGAGGTTGCTTGGCCATTCGGGATGATATTGGGGCTGATATGGAAATTTTAAAAAATTTAGACTTTTGGCTTATGCTTGGAATGGCCCTGCACAAAGCTACCAAAGCTATCCCTCTGCCTCTTCCTCCTCCTTTTCTTTCTTCTGTGGTGAGTCTTCTGAAAGCACTTTCCAGGAAAAACTAGCAGTAGGATGTGGAAGGGAGGAGCAAGTCGGTGTCCTGGAGCTCTTCTGCCTGCTCGTATTGAGCCCATCCTGAGCCCACAGGCATGTTGTGCTTAGCTGCTTAAGTGACTGCTGGCAAAGGCCAGTAGTAAATGCTGCCGGTAATTCCAATGCCTGGGAGCATGTGGAAAATCTGCATTTCAAGGTCAGGTGGAGAGAAAACAGGGAACAGTTAAAAGTGATTGCTTTGAGTCAAGCTTCAAATCAAAGTAGGGGTCGTATGCAGGACCAGGGAAGGGGCACTGTGGCAACCCTTCGCTGTAGTCCACCTGTTGAGCAAGAAAAGAAGTTGCCAGCTCCTCTGGTTCTGAAAAATCAGGGAAACCTCAAAGCTCCCTTTCCTACCGTAGTTCTGTTGTGACAATTGCTGTAATCTCTTAGCTCCAGAATCCCAATTCCCTGAGACTGAGACTCTCTTGGCCACTAGTATTAGCTTTGCCTCTTCTTCCTTTCCATAGGTATAGTGGATTCCAACCCACAGGTAGAAACACAGCAGGCTTTCAGGCTTTTCAAAATCTCTCCCTATTACTTTCTCTTCACCTGATTCTAGACATATTGAAAGGTTGTTGCCCAGTGCTGTGCTTAGGAATCACTCTTTTCATTTTTATTTTTTAATTCTTGTCATACTCTTTCTAGGGTGTGAGAAGGAGAAAGGTTTCATCATCACATCCAAAATCAAGGATAAAACCATGAAGGTGCAAAACAACTCCATCATCATCAGATGTGATGGGTTTTATCTAATCTCCCTGAAGGGCTACTTTTCCCAGGAGGTCAACATCAGCCTTCATTACCGGAAGGATCAGGAGCCCCTTCTGCTCCTGAGCAAGGTCAGGTCTGTCAACTCTATCATGGTGGCCAATCTGGCTTTCAAAGACAAAGTCTACTTGAATGTGACCACTCACAATATCTCCTGTGAAGACCTCCAGGTGAACGGAGGGGAACTGATTCTCATCCATCAAACTCCTGGTGAATTCTGTGCCTACTGAGGATCTGACAGCAGCACCTAAAACCAGGCACCAGTGTGAATGTCAAGCTGGGAGTGGACAGGACACCGATTCCTCCTTGTGAGTGAGGAATTGTCCCTGCTCAGCCACATGGGAGGTGACCAGAAGCAGATCCTACTCTCACCTCCCACTCAGGGATATTTAAAACTTATTTCACATATCAATTAACTTTATTTATCATTGTACCTTCTAAATCTCCTGACCATTATCCCCCACGATTGCGTCAGGTCCACCTGGCACCTTTTAAAGAACAAGAAAATAGGTGCCTCTTCTTCAAGACATGTTGTCTCTTGGTCAAGTAATTGCCATAATAAACCTATGTCATTGAAAAAGGCACTTGATTACCATTTGCTGGAAATTTGACATGTGTGTGGAACGGACAAAATGAAGAGGAGCAAGGAGTGGGATTATGAATTTGCCAAAGGTAGTGTGGACCAACCCCTGGGAGCCAAAGTGGCCTTTCCCAGGTTAAATCGTTTGCAGTTTGCATGTTGCTGAAACACCTCCCTCATCTGGTGAGAGTCCAAAAGGGAAATTAGCTCTTGAAGATCAGGACTTGAAGACAGCCGTCTGAGAAATACTGCGTGCTCTGGACGTGTTTCTTTATCACTTTGCTTTTCCAGCCTCCAAACATTCTTAATAGAAATTTCCCTTTAAAGAACCACTCTGGGGAGGTGATGCAGTGAAAAATCTTATCGGTGGCCTGGTTGGTTAGCTCATTGCTGGCCAGCCACCCTCCACACCCCACCACCAAAAATCTAATCAGTGATTTAAGGAAAACCAAGTTTTTTCCCCCCGCTGAAATACAGGGAGAGTGAGATAATTTATCGTGAGGGTTATCTTCATCACACAGGATGGCAGTGAACTGGACCTCTCAGGGTAAAAGTCAGTAATGATTTTTACAGTCTGGGAAGGAAAACAACATTGTTTGCCACTGACAGGCAAAGCGACACGTGCTCATCCTCCCGCCTGTGCTGAGATACACCCTTAGCACCATGCTTTATACACATGTACTACATTTCTGGTTTAAGAAAATGAAGCAATTCTATTTTCAGATGCAATTTTATGTCAAATGGCACTAAGGAGCTCTTGTACCTTACAAAGAATAATGATCTCTGTCTAGAAATACCATAATACCACATATGATCTCACACTGATTGCTGAAACAAGGACCTATATCCAGCCAATGCAAAGGTTTCAAGGGAATAAGATTCCCTTCTGTTTGGTTTGAATGTCCCCCCCTGAACTGGATATAATGTATCATGCTTATGGCATTGTGAACAGATGTGATCTTTTAATGTCAAATTTCCAGATGATTTGTAAATTGCCAAAACTTTTACAAACTTAAAGTTTTGAGATATACATATATTTAAAAATTTTAGCAAATGCTTTCTTGCCAATTTAACTAGAGGAAATGATCTATCATAGAATCGTTCTGGGTGATTCTGTGTCACCACAGGAATTGTAGGGTGCTGCAATACAGTGATTATCTCTGGGATCTTCAGAAAGGCGGAGAAGGGCTGTTTGCCCCTTCACTAGATGATCTCAATTACATACGGATTTTTTTCTGTTCGACAGATTTTCTATTTCCTGTTTCATGTCTATCTCCAACTATATCCCCACCCCCCTACTTTAATCTGTTATGAAAAGAAGCTAAATAAAAATGCTAAATAAAATAAATTGTGCATAAGGTAAGAGTAAAAAAACTCTGAGTGGCAGCCAAGGCACTCGTATAATCATAAACATAGCTAAACATTTATGGAGGGCCTACTGTGGATCAGGGACTGGGCTAAATGAATTACATGAATTATTCTGAACAAAATATTCTATGACGTCTGCCTTGACTACTCAGACGATTTATGTGTGTGTGTGTGTGTGTGTGTGTGTGTGTGTGTGTGTGTGTAGTTTACTTTTTTGTTATTGACTATATTCTGCCAAGTTGCAGGTACTTAGTGAGTGATATCTGAAAATGTATGTGTTTATGACTATAGGTAATATTTAAGAAAATACATGTTTACTTTTTGAGTTTGGAATTGCTGTCTGTATTTCTCACAGATGTGCAGTGCACAGGCCAGGCCTAAGCATGATTGCTCTGGGGGTTCTTTGTCTTTGGTGTGATGGCCCTCCCCACAGGTGCCCAGTCCCTTTGGGTACACCTCAACTGCTGCCTTCAGCTACGTGGGGATAGTTCTGTCAAGCCCCAGCCTCACTCCCCCAACTTTCTATCCATCAAAACATATGTGTTCGTGTCTAGTCCCTTTAAGTCATGTCCTTCAAAGGGATAATTCACCCTTCTCTGTAGATGGCAGAGTTTTTCTCTGAGTGAGAAGTCAGGAGATCAGAATTCTATTTTTGACCCAATCACTAACTAACCAAGTGACCTGGGGCAAATAATTTCCCATTTCTGGATCCTGCTTTCCTCTCTTATGAAATGAGAGGAATGTTAAGTGTCTAACAGTTTAGAATTGTGTGCTTGTAGTGTTAGCTGTGAAGGCACACAGTCATTGCCTACTGGTTGCTTTGAGTCAAAAGGTGTAACCTACTAAGAAAAGGACTTTTTTTTCCCCTGGACAAGCTAACATCTTCCAGTGGCCTTCTTGGGGGTATTCCTTCAAGAGCAGTTACCAATTGCTACTTAGTAACTTTCTATTTAGAGACTGCCTAAGGAATTATAATCTTGATCCAAATCATAATTTGTTCTTAAGAAGACTGGGCGGGACCCAATTTTAAGCCATAATTTTGTATTTAGTGCTTTCCTGGCCCTCAGAGACTATTAATATTGATGTTAATAATATAGCTAATAATAATATTGATATTTACATGGAAACTAATAAAAGATCTCAGAATTCACTACTGGTTGGAGTGTTGGAGTTTTTATTTATCCTTCTCTTCTTCTTCTCCATGTTCTGATTAGCTAATCCCTTGATGAGGGGAGAATGGGACAAGCTTTCTGGTTTCCTACCCGCCTCCAACTTTAGCCATCAGAGCTATGTCAAGGGGATGGCTGAGCTCGCAAAGCCCATCTTTGCTTTTGAAAAGATGCTCACTGGAAGTCCTCAGGGACCCTCTTTATGGTTCAGCAGAGTGAATCGGAGTTGTATTATGCACTGTTCTTCCTTTCCTCAGGACCTCTGGCTCCATTCTAAGCCTGGGATGATCTCTCCGAGCATTATGTCCCCTCTCCTCAGTAGCAATTGCATCTTCTGTCTCAAGAAGAGGTCACAACAACTAATGGGTCGGTGTGGCATAGTCTGGCCACAGTGATCCCCGTGCTACCTGTGATGATGATGTTGACTATCTCCCTCCCGAAGTGCTCCTCTTCCCTGGCTTCTCTGACCTCAGCCTTTTCTGGTCTTCTCTTTCCCTCTCCGTTCTCTGCCTTTCTCAGTCTGTATCACCCCTCCTCTTTCTCTGCCTTCCCCTTTAATGCTGCTGTCCTCAAGGGCTCTCTTCTCAGCCCTCTTATTCTCTGCCTCAGAGGTTGCAGTCTGGCAGCTGATAAGCCAGAGTCTGGCCTGTGTGTGTGTTTTATTTGTTTTTTAAGTTGAATTTAGCTGTCAATATTTAAGTATTGGAAAACTTCTGGATTATTTTGGAAAAAAACACAACACAACAAAACAAAACAAACAGGAGATCTGGTGATGCTGGCCCAATTTGGCATGGCAGCAACCATCTCAAGCAGAGTAGCAGCTTCCTTCCTTCCTTCCTCCTTCCCTCCCTCCCTCCCCC